TACAAACTTTTGATAGTGCCATTAGACTGATGGAAGCCTATGAAACACCTTTATAAGAACTGTCAGATAAACTGAATAACAAGTTATATAAAGAAGCATATGACCAACCAGGCTGCTAAAATCACTAAAGGAAAGGATATATAAGTATATCATACTGGACCATCTGAATTGGAAGTCTGAGAAGTCAGTTAGTTCTAAGTTGCGACTAGTAGAGAATAATAAAGAAGAAGTCAAAAAGATGGGTACCAGGATTTGGATGAACTTTACAAGAGTAATAGCAGTTTAAGGAATAACTTTGACTACAAGTGTTAGTTTTAGCTATAGCATCAAATCAGGTTAGCAGTAAAATAGAATACAGCTCGCTCTGATAGGTTTACCTTAAGGATAAAAATAGTCTAAAGATTATAGTTCTATAGTTAAAAGTAAATAGATCTGAGTCTGTGATCTAGTGAAATTAATACTAGGATCAGATCAAAAGGTTTAAATAGAACATCTAAGCAGAAGTGTTAGGTATAGTAACTGGTAGAGAACCTTTAGGCAGACTTCTTAAATAGGTAATATAGACAAGTTATACATGTAGCCAATTGTATACTCATCTGATAGTTCATTATAAATACATCTATATAAAACATATATCTAATATAAATATTAATAAAAAGCTAGGACCAAAGAGATCATCTTAATATTGAAAAAAAAAATTAATAATTAATATATTTTTAAATAATATAAATATAAAATATATGTTAGAGGGGTGGTGACTTAGTGAAGTGAATAAGTTGTCAACTTCTAAGTGGTAGGTTGGAAGTTCAAAACCTACCAATAGTGAAAATTTAAAAAACCACCTATGGTATATTGGTATATATAGACATCTGTGCAATGCTAGAATTACACAGAGGAATGCAAACCAGCATTGGATAGTGCAAACACAAAATAAGTTCTTGAAACCAGTATTACAGCAATGGCAATTTGTTAATCAGTTGGGATCAGTACTTGTAACATGGTCGCACCAGATAACTGGCAGGTCATAGGACATCTGTGGCTATGTAAATTCATGAACTAAGAAAACTGGAGCCCATTTGAAAAGACCTGAGTAAAGAGGTAACACAGATCTTTGACAGTACTACTGTAAAGGCTAGATCTAGAAAATGAATACTAATGTAGAAGGAATCAGGCAGACAAGAACCTCAGATGAGGGGTACTACCAACAAGGTCATCAGAAGCTCGAATCAGAGAAAAAGGACCTTGGGGGCAGACTCTAAGGTACCAGAAACAGGTTATAGTCCTACTGGGCTATCTGAATTGGAAGTCTAAGGTTGAAAACAGAGATATACTAAAGTACTAAAAATATGCTATGAAGTTAGTGCTAGAGTCTGAGTGAACTCTGCAAGGCTGAGTCCTGCTAACAAGATACTAAATATAGGTAGTTAGTTAGCAAGAGGGCCTTCTGGAGCCATACAAGTCAGGTGATATACTCTGAAATATGTAATGACTTAATGGATATACAAACAGAAAGGTTACAGTTAGGTTAGACAACACTTAGATGTATGAGAACTTGTGCATTATTTGTCAGTATAAGTATAGGGATCAGAGTGTTTAAATAGGTAATCTCCTAATAGATTGCAGATATGGCAGCTAATGTAGAACCTGCTATGTGGGCAGACTACTTAAATTAGACAACCAAAAGTTGTACATGTGGCTAGTTGTATACTTATCTTGTACAAGTTATGTAATCATAATTAAAAATACAATAAAGGCAATAGCTGCTAATAACTACAGCCTTAAAAAAAAAAAAAAAAAAAAAAAAAAAAAAAAGAAGGTTGATAACTTATCTACTTCACTAAGTTGTCACATACTAAAAAAATCATTTTAATATTACAAAAAAAATAAAATTCAATACTTTATTTATTTTTTTATTTAATAACTAGTATGTAAATAATTCTAATTGATTTATAAAATTATTTTCTAATATGATATATAAATTTTATTTTTGTATTATTAAAAAAAAAAACTAGTTCTAAATAAATAATTATTAATGTAAACAAAAATCTAAATTTATATATTAATTTAATATTTAAAATATAAACTAAAATTTAAAAATAAGATGTAAAAATCTAGTAAAGTAAATAGATTGTTAACCTTCAAGTAGCAGGTCTAAGATTCAATTCTCACAAATAATAAATTTTAAAAATTATATTTGTATTATAATAACTGTTTTTTGTTAATTAATTGAATTTATACATCTGTAATCCTAAGTACATAAAATTAAGACCCATCTAATTTTAGGAATTTAGAATATTTATATGAAATATAATGTTATATATATATAGAGAAATATGAATAACTGATGTCATATAAGGCTTTGATACAAATTTGTAATAAATATATCAGGTATAAAAAACTAAAAAACCAAAAAGACAAAAACCTACTTAAAAATCTTAAGAAAAAAAATAATACAAATTTTTAATAATGCTGTTAAATTAATAAAAACCTATATATAAAACATCTTCATAAAAATTATTGAATAAATCAAATTATAAAATATATAAAGAAGCATATAACCAATCAGGCTGTCAGAATTACTAAAAAAAAAGAATATATAAATATATCATACCAAACCATCTGGATTAAAAGCTTGAAAAATCTGTTAGTTCTAAGTTACAACTAGTAGAAAATAATAAAAAAGATATCAGAAAGACAAATATCAGAGTTTGGATAAACTTTATAAGAATAATAGCAGGTTAATAAATAAATTTGATTGCAAATGTTAATCTCAACTATAATGCAAAATTCGGATTAATAATAAATAGAAAATATATAACTTACTCTAATAGGTTTATTCTTAAGAATAAAATTGTTCTAAGTTTAAGATAAAGATCTAAATACAAGTAATCTAGTAAAGTTAATATAAGAATTTTAGATTAAAAGGTTTAAATAAAACATCTAAGCAAGGATATTAAATATAACAACTGATAAGAAATCTCTGAACAGACTTCTTAAAATAAGTAATATAAAAAGTTATACATATAACCAGTTATATACTCATTGTAATGCCTAACAAAAGTATTAATAAAATCAAAAAACCAAAGAGATCATCTTAAATACTAAAAAAAAAAAAATCTCTAAAGTTTAAAAATACCTTTCAAAACTTCTAGTTGCATTAAATTATTAGTATCATCTAATAATATGCTTATATAAAACCAATATCATACTAACTTAATGCTATGCATTTAACTAATATAATAGAATTGTGATTTGACTTTCTTAGATACTTGAAAATTAAAAAGAAAACTTCTTACAATTAACTCTAATCCTATAATATATAAAAACTATCTAAATCTTGTAATTACAAAACATAAAAATTTTTACTTGACTTTTAAGATTATTAACATTAATATTAAGAAGATTAAGATAATGTTTTTGCAAAATGCATCAACTAAAGAAATTGATAAAGTTCTTGCAAAATAAATCTGCTAAAACCTTTTCTTCTTCTAATCCAAGATCGTTAAAACAAAAATCGAAGAAAAAAATGCATTGTTAATATAACAATCTGTTTAATTTTTAAACAAACCAAAATTGATTGAAATGATATACATGTGATGTCATTTGTTTTGTACTGTACAGTTGCCTCCGAAAGTTTAGAATGGTTATATTGAAACATATTACGTAAAAAAAAATCAAAAAAAGTCATTAACAATTATAAATATAATTTTATGCTGATGAAATTTTTTATTTTTTTATGTTTCTGTGTAACCGTCCTAAACTTTCGGAGGCAACTGTACATATTTGTAATACAAAATATAGCCAATCTAAGAAATATATCAATACGCGTACGCGCTAGTCACATGATGCTCCAACTGGGTGAAAAATATGTGGAAATCGATATCTTCATGTAATTGTAATTTTGAGACAAAATTTTCGGCGATTTAGGAGTTACAATTCGAATCGTACATTCAAATGATGCAATAATACTGGCCGAACTTGAAATTTGATTTTCTGAAACTTGCGTTATATTATGTATTATCTTACAACAGGCTATGTTTAATCAGCTGAAATTTTAACCCAGACTTAGTCCAGACCGGTTCATGAATAAACTTCACTCTGATTAAATAGCTTTGCAATTTAAAAAAGTTAGAGGAAGGGTCCAGTTTACCGTAATTACCCAATGCAGTAAATACATTTATCGTTATAAAGAAATAAATTTAATTATAAAATATATACTTTGATTTAATAATATATATAATTTACATCTAACAACACTAAAATAAAACAATAGTTTGAAGTTAGTGTTATCTAGACTATCAACATGAAAATCCTTTTACCATTAAAAATTTTGCATTCAAATAACATTGCACCAAATTGCACAATAGGCAACATCTACAAGGCTTATCTCAATTACCGAAATTAAATGACTTTCTAAAATCATAAGTGATACAAATCTCATTCTTGTAATTCTTGTTGCATTTCATACCGACACGTTTGAAATTAATGCCCAAACATATTCTTTGGATCACCCATGTGATTTTTGCATGCGCAGTTTGAAAAATGTTACTAAATAAAATATATAATAAATCTACAAAGCAAGAGTGGAAAATACATGCGCGAACATAAACTCTATGAGTTAAAATATGAGCAAAAGAAATATATGTATAATCGATGGCTAGAAAGGATGCAAAGAATGAGACGAAAGAAAGGTCGATTTTGAAAGAAACAAACTATACATTGATTTATGTGCACTAATGGATCATCTTTTAAAATAAAAAAAAAATACTATGTCGGACCTAACAGAGTCAAATTTATCCAAAAAAGTCTAAATAAAATAAAATAAAAAACATCTTACAAAAATGTCCATAATTCCATCAAAAAAAGAAAAAAAAACTATGGTAATAGTAAAAACAAGTAACGGAAATGAGTAACTATTATCAGAAAATATATTACTCCACTTTTTTTCACTTGTTTTATCTAGATTCTCCAATATAATATACTTGTGCGTTTGCATTTAATTAGCCCTTCTTTGCATTTTCCCTTGCGGACTTAATCAGCGGGGCAAGCGATTTAAGGGGCTCGGCTTTTTGTAAAAACTTGTGCTATATACACAAGAATTTAATTAGTTTTGTGAATATGCGGATAATTAATAAACTCATCAATAAATTCAATGCAAAATTTTTTACCTTAAGAAGCTCAACCGCAGTTGGCCTTCTGTCTGCGTCAACTTCTAACGATAAATTCAAAAATTCCCGAAAGATTTGTGACAAACTTTCAGGATTTTGCAATTGAGGCGTGCCATTTGTTGCAATAAGATATAAGGCCTGGATGATAAAATAGGGTAAATTAATTTGCACATCAAACAGATGATATTAATCGTTGAATATCAAGGGTGTACAGACCCTCAAAGGATTTTCATTCAGATACGGTGGTTCACCCTCGACCATTTCAATGGCCATAATTCCTAACGACCATATATCAACCTTTGGTCCATATTCTTTACGTGTTACTACTTCGGGAGCCATCCAATATGGTGTACCGACCATAGTTGTGCGTTTGTTGTGGTTTTCGTTAATTTGGGCACAGAAACCAAAATCGGCTAGAAAAACAAGTGAATAAAATATAAAATTATTCTGAACGAAATAAATAATAATAAGTTATAGAGCAGGCACGACTAATCTGATTTGTCTGCGCAACGATGTATTATTGTGCAGAAACAATAGTTAAAAGTAATTTAAACTATTAGCTGCCGAATAATAGAATTATTGAGCAAGAAATCATAGTAAGCTGCCGGATGAAACTATTTATTTAGTAAGCTAATCATAGTAAACATTGGATAAACCGCTAATGCATACTACGTAAAAAATCACAACAGTATCTTACTATATTCTTCCCCAATCAGTTCAGCCGTGCCGGTTAGGTTATTGCATGCGAAACATGCAATAACTATATAATATTTAAAGATATATACATACTAAGTTTAATGTCGCCGTTTAATGCTAACAAAACATTATCACTTTTAATGTCTCTATGGATTACACCTTTTGAATGTAAATGTGCTAGACCTTCCAAAGTCTGTTCGAATAATGTGAAAATTCATAAATTGAAATGAATTGTATTGAAGTATTGGACTTCATTTCAACTTAACAAAATTTGGTCTTACCTCTCTACATACAGCTGCAATTTGACCTTCCGTCATTATATTATTGGTTACAACATCTGTCAAGCTACCACCTTCCATAAATTCCATTACTACCCAAAGATCACCTTTCCAAAGGAAACTATCAATGTAATTTACTATGTTGCGATGCCTTGATTCTTTCATGACCAATATTTCATTTATGATGAGGTCTTTCTTTGGTTGCTGTTCGAGATTCATTTGTTTAATGGCAACTGACATATTTGTTCCTACTTGATAAGCAGTAAAAACACCGCCTGAAGCACTTTATAACAAATATAATCAGTTAAAGCATATCAATTATAAATATATATTATATAGTTTTCAATAAACAAATTCAAATAATAAAAATTTTATACTCTTACCCCTGACCGATTTTAACCAAGTTTCGATATAATTTCGTCGGATCAGCGTCAGTACAGATAGCCTTCAATCTCTCAATAACATCTATGGAATCTTTTGCTGGTTTACGCTGTTGTCGTCGTTGAGTATTAGGTGGTGGTGGTTTTACAACGGGACCAGATGCGCTAGTTGCTGGTTGTTGTGAAGGTTTAGAAGTAGGAGGAGCCGTTTGAGGCGGTGGTGGTACTTGATTATTGGATTCCTTCGGACGAGGTGGTTTTGGGGCTGGTTTTGGAGGAGCTGTCGGCATCGTCCGACTTTCGAGTGGAGGCAACGACGGTATTGGAGGAAGCTTTGGAGGTTCTTGACCTAATATATGAAAACGTGTTTATACAAATAAATATCATAAAGCTGATAATATGATTATTATATTATGCCATACTTACTACGTGGAGGCTTTGGCGAAGAAGCCTTATTTGGTGATTTTGGCTGATTGTTACTTTTATCCTATAAAATTGTCACAATTGATATATAAAATTGATCAATATTTATTCATTACCATGGAAAAATAAAAGCAAATTAACTTTTATTGAACCTACCGAAACACTTTGTGCATTAGTTGATGTATTAGTCGATCTTATAGGGACAACTGGGGGATTTGGTTTTTTCTTTTCCGGAGGGGTTGGTGCAGATCTCTATTCGAAAACGAAATATAAATGAAATTCATCCTTATTTGACCCTGCCCAAATGATTGTTCACCGTATAGTTAATTAGCGAACTAATATCAAAATTACGAAGTTTTCTACACTCACAGGATTCTCAAATTGTTTGTCTACTATGCGTGGTGAAGTTGGCAAACTAGATGGTGGAGATTGACTTTTGAGTGTGGCATTATGGAATTTTTCCCAAATGGAATTTTTTCCTCCCTCAGCTGCATTATCTTGGTAAAATTTTACAATTTCCAACACAGCCTATTATTAACGTTTGGTTATTTAGCATAAAAAGATGTTTTAATCAAGAAACACTTATATGTAAATATAAGCATACTTGAGGGTGTGCTTGTTGATCCTCTTTCGAGATACCGGATTCTTGTAATAACTGTTGCCATTCTTTTGGTAAGCCCTAATAGGTAGCATATATTAAGTATTTTGAAGACAATTGAAGAACACACATATATTTTTAAAAAGTGTAAAATTCACCGTAAATTCTCCAGTTTCTTGATTGAATCCAACATGAGTTAAATGAACTGGATCGTAAGGCGAAGAAATTTCTACTCTTTTTTGTGTTGATAACAAATCTAATACATTTAAAGATATGAAATTTTGACATTAGACATTTAAAAACAAGAGCTACATTACCTAGACTCTCCAATTAACTAAATTGACTATCAAAAACAAAGATAATAAATTTGCTTACCAGACATTAAGCTGCCGAAAGTATTCAGTACACCTTTCAAAGATCTGTTGCTCCCATCTTTCTCATTGCTTACAGGCTGGATAGCTTCGCCGTGTACGTTGATAGGTGGGCCTTTAACAGAACTATAACTTCCACTTGGCGAATATTTGGTTGAAGTAGGAGAAATACTAGCAGAATCTGTTGACATCCCTGGAGATTTTGTCTGGGCACTACCAGCGGACGGGCTTCGAGCTAGAGGCGACTGACTCGTTGGCGTACTGGGCGTTGTTCGGTTAGGTTTTGGAGGCGGCCCTAAGCTCGCAGATTTTTTTGAAGTGGGAGGCCCGCGACGTGAATTTAACGAGTTTGACTTTAAATTACCATTATGACTCAAACCGGAAGCGCTGCTGCTCATTTGTACAGAGTTTTGCACAGATTTTGGTGGCGGCGGAGCTGAACGTTGAGGTACGAGTGAGTGGCCAACAACGGTTTGGTTATATGTATGGTTTTTTTCAGACGTTTTGGGGGAGGAGGACTGTAAAGTGGTTGGTGGGCTTCTTCCTGCAGGCGACGAGTTTGGTAAGCCGTTGTGGGACGGACGAGGAGGTGGAACAATGTTTCGTGGTGGTATTTGCGTTGTGTTCATAATTTTTCAGCCCGAACAACTTTTCTTATGAACATGCGCAGTTATATTTTAACTGCTCTCTTAAGTCAAATTCACACAAAACTATTAAATTAACTTATTAACGTTGCTATTTCTCCAGTGCTGTATTTTCTTATAAAGGCTCCCTTGAAATATTGCAACACAAGTAAGATAATATCATTATAATAAAAGCTTAGGGAGGCTTTAGTGTTACGTTCCAACATCGTGCTGCGGCATAATACAACCTTGGCTATTACGTCATATAAGAAAACAAAAAATTCTAAGATTCCATAATCATCATGCCCTGTATACAATGTTGTACACTTTGACTGTCCCGAGCCTTTTTGTCCATCCAGGGACGTCCCAAGTAGAGCTTCGTATTCGAATAATATTAGTATTAAGAAATCCGTAAAAAAAGCTATCTTAATAATTCTATTTGTCATTTTTTTGAAACCATGTACAACGCTGGCCGTATAGTTGCCGGACCTGGCGAATCAAAAAGAATACTAGCTTGTTCTAAATTACTTCGAAAGTATTGAATTTTCGACCCTCCCTCTATTTTTCATCACATTAACCAATCAAATTGCAGTATTATTTCATATTTTTTACAGCCAATAGAATTGCAGCATTTTTTTTAATTTGTGTATCTCCCCTATGAATGATTCAGCATAATTCGCATAAATCCAATGTAAAGCGGGCAGAAAATAAGTAGCCCTAGACTGGGTTAGCGATCTAAGGTTTGATCAGTTAGTGGCACCGGCAAAAATCTTTGGTAGCGTTCCCACAAAATTTAAGATCAGGTGTAATGTGATTAATTATATTTGGGTGGGATTTTGAGATTTTTAATTTTGAGAAAACCGTGGGTCGTTTCAATTTTTATGTAACACCTGATCTTAAAATTCGATTGGTCAAAATTACAGGGGGCGACCAATTTTTTGTGGGAGAGCAAGGGGGCATTACTGGCAAAAACATGTATCCACTTTTACTTTCATTCGTTAACGTTAATAATTCACAAAGCATAAAACAGAATGGATAAGTTTTGCTCAGAAATACTGCGAAGGAGTGTTCACCAGGCACTTGCATCTGCGGGTTTCGAAAAGAGCTCAAAATTAGGTGGCGAAGTTTTCGCCGATGTCTTGAAAGATTACCTGCTATGTCTGGGAAAATCTGCACATGAAGGTGCTATAAGATCTGGAAGAACGAAAACAACTTCTACCGACGTTTTGGCTGCATTCGAAGATTTTGGTATCAGAATTGACGAATTGAAAGAATGGTCACAGACTGACGGCAAGATTCTTGGAAAGTATACCGGACCATTACCTCAGCCTAAGATTATGGAAGGTAACATACAAATTAAAGATTTCAAGTAGTCATTGAAATCAAAGTTTACAATCAGCATCACCTCTACAGGTTTACTAAGAAGTGGACTACCAGGTTATTCAACGAATGAGTTTAGTGATTTACCGACTACTGAGATCAAAGAGGCTAGTGATTTTAAGTCGAATGTCAATCCAGTTGATTCCAATGAAATGCAAGTTGATACTATCCGAAAGTCACATGAAATCATTTTTAATGAAGTAGTTGACAAAAATAATGAACCCGAGGATTCTAAAGGGTTACAGATCGAAGCTACTAACGAACATTTAGTTGACTCTAGTGTTGTTTTACAATCTTACACTCGACCATTACGTCCTTCATATGTTCCAGAATGGCTTCCTCCATTCCCTGAAGTTAAACCTCAACAAGACGAAAGACTTGAATATGAGACTGATGACGCATTAAAGAAATCTCCGGAAATTAGCTCAAATGAAGCTATATCTCAAGATACTACATTAGAAATCCATAAAGATGATGAGAATTCAGTGAAATCAAATCTAGTTTCATGTCAAGATAAAAGTCTTAAAACGACACGCCGTAAAAGATCTCTAGATCAGCGACCGCCAACTTATGATATTGCAAATGTTTTCAATTCAATCGCACCACCAAAAGTACAAACTCAAGAATTGTCATTTGAATCTTCATTTGAATCTCCAAAAAAGAAACGCAAACTTAAAATCATTCCGTCATCGTTGATTCCGTTTCATGCTGTCGGTGAGATAAGTCAAGACGGAATCGCCAATCAGGATGTAACTAGCTTAACTAAATTGATGTCTTCTACAGTTGGTCCACTTAAGCTACTTAAAGAAAGTCAAACAAAAAAGCCTTCTATTGCGACTCGCACGCGAAGTGATAATGAAATACATGTGACAAATATTTCAAGTTTATCTGAAATTAAACAACCACAAGTTAAACTTCCTGTTTCGCGAAAAGGGAAGGAAAAAATGGTAGATGCTTCGGATTTCCGAGAGACTACGCCACTAAATTCTTCTCGACCAAGACCACCAACCGCTATTAGGCGTGGGTCAAAGGTTAAACTCGGAAAGTCAATTACAAAACCTGTTATTGTGCCTGCTGATAAACCAGCTTCAGCTTCAACGACTGGTGCGACAAAACTTAGGATTCGTCTTGGAAAGGTATCTCCGATTGACGTCGTTGCTCCCGCTGCTTCTCCTGTAGCATCAACCTCGTCAGTACAATCACAACTCGTTGTTAATAATCCGTCCAACGTTGGTGTTGCCGATCCGCCTGAAGTCATTAATTGCATTTGTCCATATCCATTTTCAGAAATTGACGATGGAAACTTTATGCTTTCGTGCGACGGTTGTCAAGTTTGGTTTCACGGCATATGCACTGGTTTCGGTCCTAGCTATGTTGAAGTTGATACCTGGTATTGTGAACGATGTCGTGCTCGTGGTGTGGGTATATCTTAACAATTTCTCATCTCTATATTGGTTTTTATGAGACATTTGTTATTGTAATTATTCAAATAAAATTAACTGAGACTAATGCTGATGCGTACGTTATGCAAATATGTTGTATATTTTATTTGCTTATCTAAGGAGTAAATCATCTTAGATGTAAAATAATTGCTATAAAAAATTCATGCGTTTTGGTGTGTAATTAATATGTACAATGTATATTTTAAAATTATATATTTTAACTTAATTATAATTGAATTAGATAAAAGAAAAAGTTCGAGTTTATTTAGATTACAAATAAAATAATAATTCATCAAACAAATTATCAGTGCTGATTAAGTTTAATACTATCATTGTACACTAACTATAATCAACCAATTCTCATTCGAGGATCAAAAGCTATTCTATATGCAAGTAACAATAACTACTTTATTATCTTATGCTTTAATATTGCATCAATATCTAAGATAATTTTAAATTCCCTCAAAGTCCTCCAAAAACAAATTGATTGCCAGATGATTAATAAAACAAAACTATTTGAGTTTTTTTTCGAGCACAGTCCATCCCGCATACAAATTATTGCGGATTACAGCCCACATGATGTTCCTCCTCCTCCTCCTCGTCATCCTCATCCCACACATTATTATTTTTCCTTTTCTTTGATCCGTACTATAATGGCATGATTTTGTGATCCAGTCACACATATTAGCATAAACAGTAACAATTATGATATGCAGTATAAGCAGCTCATTTGATTTACGATACCTCAGTGAAGTCACCATCTGTTAATTGCACTTCATCAGAAATCTCTGGGCGCGTTAACGGATCTTCTTCTGTGCGAGTTGGCAAAAATTCTTCCAGTTTCTGTTATTTTTATTGAAAGTACTGTATCAGTGTACATTTGTTTGATATGTTTTGACATGGTATAAAACAAAAAAAAAAAGTGTATGAATCCCTTACCTTTAATTGTTCTGGATTGATCCATAAAGAAGGTGGAAATTCCACATTGAATTTCACATATAAATTGCCCTTATCAAATGGTCTCTTATAATGAGGCATACCCTCATTAGCTATGCATTTGATGGCACCTGGCTTTATTACCTCTCCCGGAGGATGATTTATGATCAAGCCACGTCCATCCAAATGTGTAACAAGAACTTTTGAGAATCCACAAAGTGCTTCCGTAATAGAGATACTAACTTCTGTAAGTAAATCATCTCCCTGGCGCTCAAATCGATCATGAGGCTTTTGCTCGAGAACAAGAATTACATCTCCTGTTTCAACGCCAGGCTAGGTAAATGGAGGTTATCAACGTGAATAATTGTAGTTGTTAAGTGGAATTACTATATAATGGAACTTATAATCTTATATTACCTCCTGATCTGCCTCACCTTGCATAACAATTCTTTGATTGTTTTGCATTCCTTTTTCGATATAGATATCTAATTTCTTTTTTTCCTCTACAACCTTAAGGCCCTTACACTTTTTACATTTATCTTTCTCTCTAATTATTCCGCCTGTACCGTTACCTTTAACACAAGTACAAAAGTCAGGATGATAAAATAATATAGAAATGATAAATCAATTTGTTCATACAATTTGCACAAACTGTGTTTATCCTCTGAATCATGCCAGGTCCAATTTGTCGCATAGCTACTTTAACACCACGACCCTCACAACTATGGCATTTTTTGGTTGCACCAGATTTGCTACCCTTTCTACAAATTGAAAAGAATGTCCAGCATCAAAACTCTGAAAAGGAATGTAAGAAAAAAAGGCTACACATCATTGATATAATCTATATACCCATGACATAGTGAGCATACGACATCTCTTTGCAACGAAATCCTGGCTGTCTTGCCATTATAAAGATCTTCAAGAGTGACACTAAATGGTTTGATAATATCTTTGCCTCGCCTTTGCCTTGAATTTCCACCTATACCTTATGGATTATACATAATCAATATAGACATAAATATTGCTTACAAATGCGTACAAGATACTTACCACCAAAACTAAATAAGCTTGCAAACAAATCTTCTGGGGTCATAGAATTACCTCCACCACCCTCTTCACCATATCGATCGTATATTTCACTATAAAGTAAAAGTTCTTGTAGAACGGACGCGTTTATACAATGCTGCAGCTGAATCTGACCTGTTCCTACCGTTTCTCTGGATCACACAAGATTTCATACGCATGACTAATTTCCTTGAATTTTTCAGAGGCTGCCTCATCCGGATTTTTGTCTGGATGATATTTCATCGCCTATAATTTGATGCAATATATAAATTATCTTTTTTTTAAAAAAAAGAAAAAAAGTCTAATAAATGTGGTTATAGGATTTTGCTCATATATCGCGAAGTTCCGTGAAGCTTATATATTATTGCCTATATTATTACCAGTTTGTTTGGTAAGATAAAGATATGATGGCTTATTTCTCAATTTAATACATATTCAGACAAAGATATTTGTCCATTTCTTGTCTTTTTTTAAATAAACGTCATATTACTGTGCGATCTTGGAAATTCCTTTCGATCACGTAAAGTATATCAAAACTTACTAATTTTCTGTATGCCTACATACATATTTGTAAAAAAAAAAAAAATGGTCAATAAAATTCGGTCGCAAAGAGCTTAAACTACAATGCTTGTTACTTACCTTTTTGATTTCATTTTCGCTGGCGGTCGATTCGACACCAAGAACTTCATAATAGTCGGTATGTCTCATCGCGAAAGCAGATCAAAACTAATAAAATTAAGAGAAAAGTATAGAATTACTTTTCAGCTCAGGTCGTCGTGACATACAGTTATTTGATATATATGTGCTTGTATATGCCCAACAGCCCGGCTAGCGGTCGTAACTGTAATTTAATTTATTTTGAAGGAGTGCTAGGTATCTCGGATTAACTACTACGTACGATTATTCATTACCTGTTATATATATTGCATACGTATAATATATAGGTTAATACGTTAAGATTTTTTAACAAAAAAATTATTGGATAATATAAAAGTATATCAATAATATTTGACACTTTATTAGTCAAATACTCTATTTACTGGTTGTACAGTATTATCGTTACGTATACGTAACAGAATTTTATCTTTGATTTATAGGATATGCTATCCAGTTTAAGAAAACAAAAAATCCGACAATTCTATTAGGAAAGCCAGTGTGGTATCTTTAGTAAAAATGTTTAGTACCGATTTTACATACGTATAAATGCACCTTTTTTGCGTTCACGAAATTTTGCAACTTCCTCAGGATCGCCACCATAATAAATTTTTTTCGATCACGTGAAATTATCCAATAACAAATCTCGCCTTGGTGTAACATATCATAATCAAAACAACGTTCGTTTTCAAAAAATCTATTTTAACTCTAACAAAAAAATTTTTTACTGCGTGCAAGCCCTTTCCTAACCTTAACAGATACTCGATTCGACACGCAGATCACAGGATAAATTTTTTACTATGAAATTTGAGTAATCGACATGCATATAATGGGCTAGTAAATTGCTCTTGTTAAATGCTGTTTTTTAGGGGGTTCTTAAAAAAAAACCATATTCACAAGGCATAAAGTATTATAATCTAATAATACATGTAATAAATTTAAAAAGAATATGTTCTTTGAAGTTGGGTTTTATTTTATTTTATTATTATTATTTTTTTTTGGTATTAAGGTGATTTTTTTGGTTTTTTGACTTTATTAACACTTATTGGGTAATGTGTTTACATGAAATTATTACAGGAATAGCATATACATATAATTTTTTTATATTATCTATTTAAAAAATTCATTTAAAAAATTTTTACTAATTGTTATACAGTAATACCTTTCTAAGTGCACACCCTTGGGACTATTAGCAAGTGTGCACTTAAAGAGGGTATGCATTTAAGAAGGTATTATAGATTAGTTAATCAAAATCAAGAATAAATCAAAGTCTATTAGTAATAGTAATAATATATTAACATTTAGCACCATATTACTATCTTTATTATGCTTGTAATTAAAGTTTATTCAATTACCCTTGCATGTTGACAAAAGTTAATGGTTCGAAAAGATAGAGAAGAACTAATTAGAGTTACATACATATAAAATGCAACCATTTTAACTAACTTTGTAAAAGAAGTGTTAAGCCTTTTTTTTGACAAATTTGATGTCAATTTATCATGCAATTAAGGCTGAATAACTGTTTAAACCTTTTAAAAAAATGTATTTGTGATCTTACTTCGAATACAGCTTACTAAATACTGTTATACATAAAGATGGCATCATGCACCATCTCAACACTACTTCTGCCCTCATATTACAGGATAAGAGGTATGAATCAGGATCAAAGAATGGATCAATTAGTTAAATTGCATAAATCGCAAGATTCTTTACCCTTCAGCATGGATTTACTTATTTCTTACCATGATACAAACATATTAAATCATAAACTTTCTATTTGCAGGTCAAAATCAAGGTCATTTTTAGGATTAGAAAAAAAAACAAAAATTAAACTAAAATTTTGCAAGGTGGTTTTTTGGACAAAATTTCAAGTTATTAAAAAAATACAAACAAATTTTACAATACACCTTATCTTGTGATCTACATAAAAATTTTCTTTTTTGGTTTGTATCATGATGGAAAATAAGAGTGTGCCTTTAGTACAATAGTTTTCAGCAACAAATTTCTCAACTCAACTTCTCTCATCACACATTATAGTCTCCTGATTCTGCCATTTTTCTATTTAACAGCCGGCCTGCTTCAAGCAGGTGGGAAACCACCAGCTAATGCTGCTTCTCATTTGTTCTACTTCTTGCTCATTCTATTGTTACGATTATACCTGGCGCAATCCTACTAATTTTCTGTGAGCATATCATCATTTCAGTTTGATTTACTTAGCTAAAATTACTCATAATGTATTCTGCAGACTTCATCAAAATTTTAGCAGCATACTATAGATTTGTATAATAATTTAATAAACGTTTTATTGTTAGAATAAATAAGATATGGAAAAATTTAAAAAAAAAAAATTTATACTGTACAAATGCGAAATAATGCCCATCTGCATGTTAATTAATTGTACTGCACGTTATTTTGAAATGAGAATTAATTTTTTAAATTGTACACTTTAATCATAATATTTGAACAAAATGCTCTAGTACTAAGTAAACCTACTTTCGTCTCAATGTCAATAGAGCTCTAGAGTAGTTTACTTAGTATCAGACCTAGTTCCAAAACACTTTTTGCTTCTTTACTTTTATGCAAGGTATATTGAAATGCGTGTTAATTCTGGATGCTAATTCTATTTAGAGGTTCTGATTTTCAAAATAACACCCAAGCATTATTTTACGCTTATACAGTAATTGGCAAAAAATAACATCGGCATTTCAGTTAACAAACTTGCCAAACTATTTTTTTTTTTTTTGCACTGGCTTTCAATAATTAACAAAATATCCTTTTATACACTATATTTATTTATTTGAATAAATAAACATCAACAATAATTTATTTGTATTCAGATATAAGCTATGACTTAAAGCCAACTAGATTTAAGTCAAAAATGTAGTTTAGAACCATGGTTAAAAATTAAATTAAGCCTAATTAATTTCAATCCATGCTAAAGTTGGTTTTAAATAATTTATAAAATTTTATTTAAATAAAGAACCCAAGCCCATAACTTATGTTGGTAATTGGACTTGCCAACTTGTGACTCGAATAATTCGAGTTTATCATAATTCAAATCACGATTCATAAAATTCACAAGTAAAAAAATTAACCTAATTGTTAATATTATCATTATAATAAATATAATTAAAACATTTTTAGAGTTGGTTTAATAGATCGTAAATGTTTTTAAATTGGTATTTTCATATTTGTTACATTTTTATAAATTCTACTTTCCAACCTGCTTCAGAAAAATAAATAGTAAATATATAAGTACCATAATGGAAAGCTAGATTTCAGAATTATTTAATTTGTAAATTACAAGTAAAGGCAAATTCAATCTCTAATTCAAGCTATAGCCTTTAGTAAAACTAATTTATTCAAATAATATGAGTACTGCAAAGAACAAGCCCATAATTCTTATAAAGAATTACAGGCTTTTTTTTTGCAGCGCTTATATCTCTAAAGACACAGCATAATTAAATAATTTTCGTGCCTATACTCAGAATTTATAGAATTTTGGTTCTGGCTATAGGCTATTAAATTTTTTTTTATATAAAATGATTATATTTTTAAAAAAAAAATTCAAATCGTAAATCCTTAAGTTTATAACAATGCCCAAAAGAACTACTCTTACAGATGCACAAAAATGTGAACTTTGCAAATATGCTTGTGAAAACAAAATGACTCGATCCTAGTACATCAATTGGATAGAAAAAAAATGGAGTGTTAGAGTTGATGAAAGTACTATTTCACGTATTTTAAAAACAATAGATGAATGACTTAACTCTGTAGTTATTAATCCTAATGCCAAGCATCATAGAGTGGTAACATACCCAGAACTTGACTACGCCCTAAGAGAGTTTGTGCTGATTTATCAGAATCAAACAATTCTAAGTGACACAATACTTGTCGAAAAAGCCAAAATACTTGCCAATGGCCTAGGAATTCCTGAGGATGCATTGCAGTTTTCTCACGATTGGCTTAGTAAGTTTAAAGAACGAAATAATATTCGTCAACATAAACTTGAAGGAGAAGCTAAGTCTGCTGATGAAGCAGCTATTATTACTGCCTTACCAACTCTAAGAAACAAATGCTCTAACTATCCTATTGAGAGAATATATAACATGAATGAGACAGAGCTTTTTTATAGGTATAAACTTATTAATATGTTATGAATGTCATCAAAGAAAAATCTGCAATTCTAAAAAATAGATTATTATAAAATTCATAATATATTTTTAGAATTAAGGATTTTTCTTTGATAAAACTCATATTCTATTAACTACCACTAAGACTTGCTTTGTAGGTTAGAACCCGATCGATCATTGGCAACTTGACGCCTTTCCGGGCATAAAGTAGACAAGGAATGTTTTTCAATTGCATTATGTGCAAATGCTGATGGCTCTCACAAAATGGTCTCTTTTGTAATTGGCAAATATGCCAAACCATGCTGTTTTAAAAATATTAACCTTAAAAATTTAGCTGTTATGTATAAAAATAGTGCCAAAGCATGGATGATTACTTCTCTTTTTCAAGCGTGGCTCAAAGAGTTTGATCGACAAGTTGGTTTAAAGTATCAGGGCCAACACGTGCTACTGGTTCTCGACAATTGTTCAAGTCATAAGTTGGATGGTCTAATTTTACAATTCACTGATATTGTTTTTCTTCCTTCAAGAGTAACCTTTAGAATTCAGCCAATAGATGCCGGAATTATAATGAGCTTCAAAAGATATTACCGTCGCCTTCATGTTCGGTAAGACTAAGTTTTTTTTTTTATAAATTAGGTTAGTAGGTTTTACTTTTTTTTTTTTTTTAAAAAAAAAAAAAAACTGGATATTAGAGCATGTGGAAAAGGGTGAGTGTGCTGATGAGCTAAAAATAGATGTGCTGCAAGCTATATGTTTTGTTATTCAAGGCTGAGACGAAGTCACTGCTGAAATAATTCATAACTGCTAGTGTCATACGAATATTCTTTCTATTGATACTAATGCAGAGTTGTGTAGTCTCATGAATAACATTCACCAAACTGAAGATCTGACACTCGATAATCTTACTAATGCACTTAAAGACCTTCATATTCATCTTACTGACCCGATGCCAGTCGAAGAATTTCTTTCTATTCCTGATGAAGATGTTGTCTACGAAGTTCCTAGAGATGACCAAGTTATTGAACAGCTTATAGAAACATTCAAGCCAGTCTATTTAACTTATGATGATTCAGAGGAAGATGATAATGTCGAAATTTCTCTAATTAGCATTAATGCAGTGATTACAAGTTTGGAGACTGTGTATATGTTTTTGCTTCAACAAGATAAAGGAAGATGAATATGTTAAGAGTGTGAGAAAGGTTGAAAAATTTCTTAAAAAAAAAAAAACAAATCAGTTTCAGCAAAGTAAAATTAATAACTATTTTATGAAACAATAAATAATAATAAATACTTATCTTAAATATTCTATTGCTCTAAATTGAACAATTTTAAAAAAAATAAGCGATACAAACAGAATTAATTGCAGATATAGTAGTGCATTATTTTTACTACCCTTGAGCATCAATCTCAATCTTGATAATCTTGCTAAGGCATCTAAATATTTTTTCTTGTTAATTTTATTTCTCCTTGGTTTGATTGATCTTGAGCGGCCTTATTAATTTTTTTCTAATTTGCTATATATGTAACAAATAAATTAGATCACTCATATAAATAAATAAATAAAAATAAAGATCAAAAATTAATTGCAGTTTATTAACTGTTAATACGATCTGGGTTCAGAGCACAAATCGCAATTCTTGAATGTGTGCCAGGTTTGTGATGTAGGCAAAATTCTTAAAATTCATTTATATTAGGTTAAGTGTCTATATTATGACCATACAATAGTAAGGTACATAGTAAAATCGTGCAAGAAAAACTTTTTATTAGAGTACTAAGAGTGGTTTCTTATGCAGATTTTCAATAAATAAATGATTTTTGATAAAACGAAAGAATTTTCTGATTGTGTTAAGTTACACCTAATCTTAAGATCTGATTCGTAGTTCAGGAAATCTGCGCCACAAATCTGGCATACACTCAAGAATTGCTACAAAATCTTTAGGTGATGTAATTTGCTTTTTTTTCATGTTTTTTTCTAACCGGAATTTAAATGAAAACTTATAAATCACAACCAGAGCAGTTTATCATAAAAAACAGCAAATTTCTAACTGTTGAAAAGTTGGACTAGAACTTACATCATAAAATGGAATTCTCTGGTATTTTAAAATAGGATTTGTGCTTTGCCTAGGTTATACAATGGTAAATAATTGTGGTTTGACTAGTGAATACGATCTTGAATTTTATTGGCTAAAAATCATATGTGTGCATTTATGGGGTGCATGTATAAGTTCAGACTATAAAAACTTATGCACATGCAGAACATAGAGGTGTGCACTTAGCACTAAGTCCCAAGCTTGGGACCAGGCTATAGTGTGCACTTAAAGAAGATATGCACTTAGGGAGAGTGCACTTAGGGAGGTATTACTGTATATTGTTCTTCCTAGTAATAATACAGCAATACTAATTCATATACTTAACAATATAATTGAAAAAGCCTCTTGCAATTTCAAAGAATTTTGGTTTATATCTCAGGATATGAGCAAAGCTTACAACTCAGTAAACTCTGACCTCTTTTATAAATCTCTAATATAAATCAACATATTATCTAAATTAGTAGAAGTTCTTACTAATCTGCTTAATGATCGCCACAACTGAGTTATAACTAATTTTGAACTTACAGATTCATATTCTGTTAAAAATAGAATTAACTAAGAAGAAACAATAATACTATTATTTTGGCTTATTTACTATAACCCTCTTATTCACAGAATTGCATCTCAATTTACTGGCTATACTTTTTCAATATTATGAAAAACCAGTCTACAACCTCCTCGACACTAACATCTTCAAGCCTCTATCTCAGTTCTCACTTATATAAATAACACATTATGAATTGCTCAATTTAAAAATAAGTTAGAACAAATTACTCAAATAGCAGCATCCTTCTACCAAATAGTCAATTTTCAGATTAATTCTACCAAATCAATATTTGTCACAAATGCCAAACCCACTTTCATTATCTTTCTTAATTCTACTCTTAACTTTATTTCTAATAACCAACCTTTTAAATATCTAAGTTGTTAGTTTACACTTAACAACAAACAAACTCATACAATTAAATTAATTCAAAAAGAAGCTTTTCAACTAATTAATACTGCAAATACAAAAAACATTATAGACAAACAAATCACTTATATTATTAACACAGTCATTATCCCAATATTAGAATACAAAATATATAATATTATACTCTTCAAAACTATATATAATCACATATTGGCCAAATATCTTATAGTTGCCAAATACAAATCTCATCTTGCCCAATTAATTCCTAATAGTACAATGCTTTATCTCTATCTATACAATATATATAACATTTGAAATATGCAATTACAACACCATATTACTTCATTTCTTCAATAAATTAATGATTCCTATTTACTAGATGTTTCTACTCATATTAGATTACAACAGCTTTAAAACAACCTTTGGTCTACTATAAACATGCTTGAACATTCTTAACCTAATGTTGATGGTTAAGATAAACATACTCTTAATTTTAAAATCATTCAACTATTTCTACAAATTGCTGTCTCTATTAGAGCTAATAGTAATACATTATGACTAAACACCATCTATTATCAACTCTAATCTCTTGAACTTATTCTTCAACATCATCTTAAATATACAACCTTTAAAAAACAACTTAGACAACTAAATCTACTTTATCTTGAACAACTTTGCATCTTAAACAATACTATACTTTTTGAATAGTTATATTTATTACCAAGATTTCTTCATTTGTCTAAAGGCAGAAAACTGATCTGGTTTACTGAACTCAAAAATCTTATTATAAAAAATTATCACTATCACTTTCTCAAACTTCAATACCAATAGTAAGGAACTAATTTCTTTATATATAACACATATAATATTTCTAAAAAACATAAACTATGGCTGATTACTTTCAATAATGAGAAAATTATTATAGGCAAAATCTATAAACATCTTACAGACTCTAACCAAATATCAATCATACACTGGCAAACTAATATTAATATAAACAGTACTAATTACTATCCACTTTAACAAATTAATCTTGTTTCTTGTTTACATTATCAACTTAACTTACATAAATAACTACATTATGCATTATTAATACTTTATTTATTACATCTGCCCAATTTTTTGGTAGAATTATTTTAAACTCAATTAAAATAAATGCAAACTACTTAGACCTTCTCAACTCTGCTGAAATTAAATAGCCTTTGCCAAATTCCTTACTACTATCATTGCTTTTTATTCCTATTTCCAACTTCATCTCTTCTGTAATTTTTAAAGCAAGTGATGCAATTAACAAACTTAATCAAATATTTTCTAATAATCTATCATATAACTTATTTAACTTCTATACTGATGGTTCAGTAATTAGTATAAGTATATATAACTATATTATAGATATCAGCCAGGTTCAAGTAAATTTTAATAACCAAGTTATCTACAAATTCACTACCAAAGTTTACCTCTGACTATTCTCTTACAAGGCTGAACTCTTCTCTATTCTGTCTGTTATTTCAACTACCTTCTGAAATTCTACAATTAACATCTATACAGATTTTCAATTTATAATATCAAAATTTATTCAACTTAATAAATTATTTTTAAATTCTAATAAACTCTTTAAATTTAACTTCTAGCCATTATAGCATACCTTACTAAATATTATTAAATTATACAAATTAAATATTATCTTTTATAAAGTTCAAGCTCATTCAGACAACATTCTTAACAATCTAGCAGACTCACTTGCTAAATAATACATAAATGAACCTTTATTACATTTTAACTATATGAATATTTCTAACTTATATTATTTATTATTCTTTGAAACAAAACAATTTTCTGTTGAACTTTCTACTAAATACTTTGTTAAAAGTATCTGTAAAGCTTACAACTATGTGTTATAGTTATTACAAAAATGAAATGACAAATAAACTCTATTAGCCTATTATATTAACTAAAATTCAACTTGGCTATACTTTAATCATAATCAAAAATTTACTCATAATCTTACTAATTTTAAACTTAACTAATCCAAATTATTTAAAATTAAAATACTTCTTAATGAACTACCTACTTAATATCTCTATTATAAAATCTATTTTCTAATCTTTTATGATGCCAATTGCTTTTACTGCAATTTAATTATGTTATTGTTATATTGGTGCACTTGTGCCAACTCTTCTTTGCTTAATAGTATTATTTTTAATGCAATTATTAACTGTGTAAATTTAGCCAATTTAGACCTCTCTAATAACAGAACTAAAGAACTTATTTAAAAAATTAAAAACCATTCAGCTTTTAAAGAAATATCTCTTTTTTTATTCTTACACTATTTAGAAATTATTCTTAAAGATCTTATTCTCTTATCTCTAATTAAAACTATTTAGGATCTAGAAATTCTATACAAACTAGCATTATTAATATTCTACTTAAAATCAACAAACAAATTTATGAATAATTATAAAAACCCTACTGTATTAATTTTTTAAATTAAAAAAACAACAACAAATAACATATATACATATTGAACAACAAACTTTATTTTTCTATAGTAAAAATAATATACATACTTGTCATAATTTTACATATTCTTGTTTCTGTGATCAATCTAACCAACTTCATTTATATACTGAAATCTGTCTACTTGTTGAACAGGCTTTTAGAAAACTTAGTACTTGGGCCACTCTGTAGATCAAGTATCACACAACTTCTAATTTTATTTTAACTATAAATGATATTATCTAGGTAAGTTTTTAACCACTCTAGTAGGTTTAGGTTATAGAAAATTAGATTTATTTAATTGTTTGAGCTTTTATTTTTGCATGTAATTTTTCTTTTATTTGTACTAATACAAATAGTAGATATATGTACTGCAATATATTATTATTTTATAAATTACTTAATAAAAATATGAGAAAGACTTTATCTTAAAAAAAAAAAAAAAAAACTTAATTTTAAAAAATTTTAAAATTATAATAATTTCATTCTAATTAATTTTTATTATCATATCTAATTGTTATATTACTTCTATTTTTTTGATTAATTAATAATAATTTTAATATGATCTATACTTATAATATTAAATTTATTGTAATATGATTTAATTATTTTAAAATATGAGTTACAAATAAATTTTATATAAACAAAAATTATAAAATTTAATTTAATAATATTTTT